CAGGCTAATGGAGGAGTACAGGGGGGACCACATGAGCACTGGCCACTGCTATTTCAGCGTCTTATGTACACAGCTTCCTTTTTCCTGCTGATACTGCAAAAGTGTCTCAGACAAGAGGCCACCCTTACCCTCTTACTAGAAATCAAGACCCTGAGGCTGTTCAGTCTCTCCCCTAGGAGAGGAGCCAGGGTGAAGTTTTCTCAGTGGCTGGACCCCAGGGCTTCCTTTGTATTCTCCAAACCTGCCAAGAGTTTGACCTCCTGCACAAAGACCTTCCAGAGTAGGGTAGCCCTGTGGGCCTCCCCTCAAACCAGAAAGTTCCAAACTCTCCCAGGAGATAAGAATGGTTCCTGCTTGTAAGCCTAGCTCCAGAAAGACAGGTTGCACATGGTCACCTCTGCAGCCTGCCCCTCACCTAGACTCTGTTAGCGCCAAGTCAAAGGAAAATTTAGAAACTCTGGCTGATGACACAAGTGACAAGACCCAGCTGCCTCTTCCCCATTCCTTCTGTCAAAGATCCAATAAAGCTTATCTGTCTCCTAAGTAGAACTGCACAGAAATTATCCCCAGTTTAACAGTAGTCCATCTTGTTCCCCCAAAGGCAGGAATTTTTCAAAGTCCTTGAAATATGTGTTCGAGTTATTTTTTTAACTTCATAAGCAGAAAAATCTTTTTAAACCCTACTTATTCCCAAGCTTATTCTTCCTTATTTCCTGTAGGGGAAATGGAAACCAGCTCTTGCACCACCCCCTTGCAGAGTCCCTTTCCTCCTAGCTGAGAAGACCCTGTGGAGCCCCCAGTCCTCTCCGTGGCAGGGTGCACATGTACATGTATATAGCCACACACACACTGCCTCTCACCTCGTCCTTCAGCCAGACACTTCCAGCTGCTTTGAGCCTGTGTATGGAGGTTTTGGCTTCTGGTTTGTTGAATACCACTTCTACAGACCCCTCGAAGTAAAACAGGAAGATTGTCAGGAAAGCTTAGAGGATGCTGTCTTTCATTAAATGCTGATATCTTTTATTCCAGTACCCCACCAAACCCCCACCACTAGCCAGCCCACCCCATCCTCTTAGCAGGTGCCAGGCAAGCTGGTTGCATAAAATAGACCCAGCATCCCTTGGCAGCAGAGCCAAGAGTGTCCCAGCTTAGTCATACTCCTGAGCGAAGCACTAGAGAGCTTGAGTGTGACATGAATGTATTTATATAGGAAACTCTGCTTTCTGCTGTCTCATTTTGTCATGCTGCTAATGGTCTTGATCCATGTGCCGGACAGGTTGTGAGCAAAGGCCACCCTCTGTGGAGAGGGCGTATGTGTACAGTGGAGAGGGTGCTGGAAGATGGGGTGCAGGGTCTGGCAGGGACAGCCAGTGTGGCAAAGCCCCTAGCCAGGGTTTGCTGCAGGAGGGAAGAGGTGAGGTTAAGTCTGGTTTGTGGTGGGGCTGTTTTGGAAGAGATCTGATGAGAAATGAAGTTGAAGCCAGCCAGATGGTGGGGGTGGAGAGGCAGAAAGAACCTGCCGTAACTGGCTCGCCTGCCCAGAGCCTGAAGCCTGGGGGGGGAGGAGAAAGAGAGAGAAGGAACTGCAGATTTGGATCTGCTTATGCAACTGCAGCTGCCACTTGGAGTTATTCTATTATTTAGGTCAAAGCTGATTATTCACTGCTGAGTCAGCAGAATATTTCTAGTCTCCAGGCAGTTTAAAAAAAAAAAGAAAAGAAAGTATTTTACGTTTTAATTAAATGAAAAACCCTTCTCCCTTCACCAGAGCAAGCATATTAGTAGGATGGAAGGAAATTAGGAGGGGCCGGGAGGTGTTAGAACTTGGTTCTGGTGTCTTCTTTGTGATTTGTTTGGGTATTTCTCTCTCTCTCTCTCTCTTTTTAATTATTTCATAAGTAAATGACTATATTCTTCATGTAAAAGGCTTAATAAGATACAAAGGGAGTCAACATTGAGACCCATGCTGCCCCTCCCCTGCGCTATACCTGGTAACAGTGGATAGGTATCCTTACAGTTCTAAATAAAACACATCTATAGTCTACAAATCTGGGTACATACTGTACAGACTATATGTTGACAGGCTATTTTTGCAATTTACCCTTTACCATGTAGCCGCATCTTCTGGCCATTACCTGGGTTTCCAATTACAAACAAAGTGGCCGCAGTGGGGGCCCTGGGTATCAAACAATTTTTCCAGATGCCAGTGTGTGCATCTTGCTTGCTAACTCTGGGTTTTCCTTTGAGATCTGTTTGTCCTTGCTTCTCTTGAAGGCTGGATCATCCTTCACTCAGACAACTTCTGGCTCCTTCCTGTCTTTTGGGGCTGGGGTCACATCCAGCATCTGAAGTAGAATTCTTTTCTTTTCATTCAAGTCTCCCTCTTCTCCTGGAATGTCTGGACCTAAAGAAGCTCCTTCCCCTTCCTTTCCCTAAGAGGAAAGGAATACTGGGAACACATGTCACAAAGAAAAAAAAATGCTGCTTATCTTGTTTTCTATCTTTATACTGAGAGTCCTAAGAGGCTACTTTTCCAGGGCTTCAGATTTCTCCTTCTTCTTTGACCTATGTGGCAGGGAAAGGACTTTATGTATCACTCTTACCCCTGCAGTTCCTTTACAGAGTGCCTCCAGCTGTCTGGGGCAAGATGCTGTGACAGAGAAACTTGTGCATGTTGTTTTGCAAATCTCTTGCAAATTAATCAATCCCTTGACATCAGAGAGTTCAACAATCTTTCCTAGCATCTGAATCCCTTAATCCCCGTTCATTTTCCCCTAAGCCTTTATATTCTCTAGTCCCAAACTTCTCACCCCAAACACTACCCATACTGTCTCAGATACCTAACACTACACATACTGTCTCAGATACCTGGGTGGAACCTCCTTCTTGCCCTTCCTGAGACCCCAAAGAGTTCTTTGGGTGCCTGATCAGCCGTGTATATGTGAATTCAGACAAATATAGACTAGCCTAGATTTGATTCCCATACATCCAAGACCTTTTTTTTTTGTATGTCTTCTAACTAGCCAGCATTTAAAATATAAATGTACTGAAAATCTCTTGACTTGACCTTAGTAGTCAATTTGACTAACATCACATTTTTCATTTTTGTGATGCATTAAAACTAAAATTATTCTGTAGGGGATTTCTATGAAGGGGGAGAAGAAATAGAACATCTATCAGCTAATGCCTATATTGATCCTATGTGATTATCTCTTTTACAAAAATTATTTTCTAAGACAGAGTCTCACTCTGTTGCCCCAGGCTAGAGTCCTGTGGTGTCAGCCTTGTTGACAGCAACCTCAGACTCCTGGGCTCAAGTAATTCTCCTGCCTCTGCCTCTCTAGTAGCTGGGACTTCAGGCCCCTGACATGATACACAGTTAATTTTTTAAAAATTTTTTAAACACAAGAAAATCACCATAATGAACTTCTACACTGAGTAGAGATAAAGCATAATTTATAGCCTTTTGGAAAAGATTAAAAGTTTAGTGACGAGATTAGCATAAAACAAATACTTACAATACAATATGATGAAAAAATGTGTGCAACA